GCATACTTTTGTCTTGTGATAACTTTCTACGCTCCGGTCAAATACAACACTATTATGTTGTAGAAAAACAGCAAAGTCAGCAAGAACTTATTATTTACCCCCAACTGGCTGAGAGCAAGACTGTCTCTTCACAGAGCAATGAATGTAAGCACGAGGTTTACATAAATATATTTAGTCTCCTCACTCTCTATTTCAAAAAGATCTGGGTGCATTTCACAACCATGGACTGATTATGCAGGTACCATCAGCCTGGGAATAAAATGAAATTTTAAAAAATATGTTTTTCACATCTGTCATAGGAAACTCCTTCACTCCACCTTCTGTTCCACAGATGTTCCCAATAGATCTTAGAGGAAGTATGGAGTCTGGTCAACCAAATCAATGGTTTAGACCAACAGCAAATCTGCATGAATATAAATGTAAAATGCAGAGGAAAGAGGCAAAATAGATATCACATTCAGAGGTGACCACTGGCCACTTCTCCTTACATAAATACCATACTTGGTTATAAATGATTAAAGTAGAATATGAAACAGAGAAGTGATGTTCACCTCTAAAAACGTGACACTTCTCTTTTATATAAGCATATAAAAACCAAGAGGTAGAATGATTGTATGACTTGTATCCTGGAGGATCTAGAGCAATACACCTTACTTTCAGGACAAAAGAACACCCTTCTGCTGGGGAAAGTTCATTATTACCCTTTCTAAATTATTACCAAGCTAAAGTTGATGTTATCGACTTTTCTTACTTCGAAGAGAGCAATCTCCCCCTTCTCATTAATAACCTCTCTGATAGCCTTTCCTTTGTTTTAAATCCAATCATTCTATTATTGAATAAGGTTTAAAAAAAAATAGCAGTCTTCTTTTGGCAACTATCTTTCAAACCTGGACTGAATTTTCTATGAGTTTTAGGCTACTTTAAATTTTCAGGATGATTCAAGGAAGAGGAAGAAAGACATAAGTTTAAAAAGAAGAAGGAAAACAATAAAGGAATAAAAGAAAGAATAGGAGGCATCATTAAAAAAAGAAATAAAAGTATTAAGAAAATAAATGAATAATTTATCTTTTTAGTGAGGGTAGAAGAAAAGAGAGTTATGTCATGGATCATTTTCTGGTCCATGATCTGGATGAGAGTATTACCTAAGCTCCCTGAGTAATCAGTCTTACAAATGATCTCACTTCTATTTCCATATAGAAGACACACCATTCTTGACAAACTAGGTATGGAGATACTGCTCACTCCTTCAGCATTTGGACAAATGAAAAGAGAGGAAAAACAGGAAGCTTTTCAGCTCACCAGGAATTTTGACAGATGGTCTTGGTCTGACTTTTTGCCCCAAACAAGACATAAGCACATTCCAGAAAGACAGCAGCAAAGAGCTAGAAAGGGAAGTCTTTATAGAGAGGTTCTTTCAATGGAAAAGAATTTTCTTCCTGACAATGATCTTCATAAGAGGTTAATATGCTTAAGCATATTGAGAATTCATTAAATATCTATTACACGTGGTACAGAAGACTGAGCCCTGTTGTGCTTATGATAATGACCAAAAGCTTAAGAAAAATTGGTTTTCATAGAGAGTCTGTGTGTAACAAAGCTAGTCAGAGCCTAGTGGTTGTTTGGAAGCTCAGAACTCATTTTTGAGATCAAGTATTTTAATTCTCCAGTTTTCAGTAATGCTTTTCTGTAGCCTTTTCTGCACCTGATTCTAACTGCCTTATTCCTTTGTTCCATTGTCATGTCTCACCTTGATTGTTTTTTATCTTTTGGCACCAATGTATATATTGCAAGTCACTTCAAATGTTACTGGAAAAGTAAAGAGTGAACAAATGGTCTGCTGTAAAACATTACCTACTTTTAAAGAACTTGCAATCTAATAGAGAGATAAGGTTGAAAAGCATTATTGAAATGTGAAGTAATCTATGGAAGCCATAGAAAGAGGTCCCAAATAAATATGGCTTAAAAAATAATGAGGTCACCTCCAGGTAGGAGACCACTTTTGGAGACATCAAACAAGATGAACATGGAAAGACACGAAAATCTAACATATCATGTTGGGAGATTTGAAAGAAGAAAGCTCAGAGCATGTTTAAACCATATTACCTTCAGATACTGTTCGCTGGCAGCCTAGGAGAAGGAAGGAGACAAGGCTGGATAGACAGCTTGGAGTCAGTGCAGGAGGGATCATTGTAAATCTCAAAACAACCTTGAGCGGGTTGTTTTCCCATAACTTTTTGAGCAGAAAAGTAATATAATCAAGGTGATCTAAGAGGTCACATAATTACAGATAAGGAAATTGGGGGCAACAGGAACAAGTGTTTAGCAATGTTTTAACAGACAAAAAGACGCCTTTCAGAATGCCTGAGGTGGAGACACCCTGCTTGCCTCATCTCTGCAAAGACTCTGCATAGATCATAGATACACGGGGTTTTAAAGGAGGAAACAAAATAAGGGAGAGGCATTCTGGTTATACCTCCAGTAGAATGCAAGTCGAACCTCGATGCAGGCTGCTTTCTGCTGTTCTTGCCCCCATCAGCAATCAAGAGATGAAGCTGAAGGTTCCAGTGGGCAGTCACACTCTCTGGCCCTACAGTAAGCCACTAGAGGGGGAGGGTATGTGAGGTGAAGGTGACAGAAGCAGCCACCATGCCCTTGCCTTTGTCGCTTGGAACTATCCCAGCCCAGTGAAGAAATCTGGGTTTAGCTCCTGTCCGCCTATGCAATGTCCAGCTGCCGACCAGAATCACCTCTGATGTCACAACAGATGAATCAGGCTTTGGCATTATCCCCCAATACCCTGAGGAGTTGGTGATGGAGGAAAAATTGACTTCTTTTTCAATTAGTGCTGTGGTGACTTAAGTACAACACATGAAGAATTCCAGAAAAGTAGCATCTTTGAAGTCAGCGGTGAATCAGAGGTTTTCCGCCCCTCTCGACGAGTGTCTTCTATGAAAAAGAGTTTAACTCTGGCTGGAGTTTGTCCCCTACTGTTTTCCCGCATCCCTCGACATTCCCTGCTCCTTTTCGCAGGCACCGCATGGCCTGTGAAATTTGCTGGGATTTACACACGGTGTCCAGTCTCGTTGCTCCGAGCGATGACTTCCAGGAACTTTCCATGGACCAGGGCGTTGCAGGCTCTGACACGCGAGGGAGGAGGGTAGGGGGGAGATGGACCGGGGAGCGGAAGGGAAGGAGAGAGAGGGGGGAGATGGGTGTCGAGGGGGCCCTGGGCAAGGGGAGCCAAGCTAGGGCGGAGCAGGGGGCTTATCTCAGCAACCTGAGATCAGTGTGTCGGCCTTTCCCTGGCTTCAGTCCCCCGTTGGTGCTGCTGGAGCTAGGAAGACTGCTAGACATCCTCTGGGGCGTTCTCCCTGACTCACTTGGCTGCGTTTTTAACCATTCTTTTCTGAATCAGCAAGAGTTTGCTAGTCCAAATCTGAGCCTGCCATCTCGCAGCTTCTCCTGTCTCTAAAACCGGTGCCCGGGCTCAGGTCCCAGGTGACCGAAGTTTTCTAGGCTTCACCGCGCGGGGCTCAGCCTCAGGGAAGCAGAGCGCAGGGAAGCAGAGCGCTCGAAAGCGTGCGCCGCCTCTGGGAGAGCTGGGCGCAGGACAGCATCCTCTCCGTGCGCTCACCGCTGCGCACCCAGCAGCCCAGTCCAGCGCTGGCGTTAAGAGTGTGACTGTGAAGGTGGCTGGGCCCTGGAATTTGTGGTTTTAAAAGTTCTTGACACCTACTAGAACATGCTAGAGGACAAGTCAGCCCCTAAGGTGCCCCTAGTTACCAAGAGTAGGCGCTTTTCCTGAAATTGATACAGGAAATTTGAAAAGTAGAGTTTTTGAGAACAAGACACATCAGATCTTTTTCCATTTATTTCAGCCCTCATCTTTCCTGCCCCTGAGTTTCTGGTCACGGTTGCACATTTAATGCTTTCGCAGGGAAGCGCCGTCGAAGACTGAGACTGCACCTACCCTCCAAAGCATCCCATAAGTAAGCACAGTTTCTTACTAGCCAAGGAGAAGGGAAAGCACTAGTTGAAAGTGTCCACACGAAATGCTCAAAGGGGTTCAGGATGCACGGGCAGTACGCAAGGACTCCAAATCTTTAAAGTGACTGCTGGTTTGAGAAGGTGTTTTTCCCAAATAGAAAGGATTGGTCACGGTAACGCCCTGTAGGAGAAAGACACCAGTATCCATTTCTTAAAGGACATTCACACATATGAAGAATTTGGGGCAAAGCAAAAAGGGGGAAGGTGAGGGAAATTCCTGATGACTTTACTAATGTTAAAATTCCATAGATTTAGCTACTCCTTTTTTTTTCCTTTCACATCATCAATTCAGAATTCTATAAAGGAAGAGAATGACATGGTAGAAAATCATTGGCCTAGGAGAAAAGAGCCCGTAGGCGTTTAGGTGTTATATATGTGCAGCCAGAAAGCTCTGGAGCATCAGGGAGACTCCAACTTAAGGCAACAGCATGGGTGAATAAGGGCCTCTTGTGTACTGGGAAAGAGAGGCAAAGCCTGGTGCTTGAGCACTGGCCCCTAAGGCAGGCCCTACAGATCTAGGGGCAATTCAGCCTTGGTGGGAAGAGTTTAGTGTGAAACTGGGGTGGAACTGGGTTTCCAGGTACATTCCCTGATACCTTACTATATGTTCTGTCAGTTTCTTTCAGGAAAATCTTCATCTTACAACTTGTAGGGCTGGTGCTAACTTACGACTTCACTAACTGTGACTTTACGGAGATTAAAAAAGAGTATTGCCGTACTATTCGTGAAGACTTGCTTACATATATGAGTGGGGTAAGTGAAGAAACTTTTTTGAAACAAATGTATTTTCATCAGAAAGGTAGACATACACACACTCTACAATTTAACTTTGTAGGAAAGAAAAATAATTTAGAAAAAAATAATGGCCCCCACATTTTGTCAAGAATTCGTACAAGTGATAGTCAAATATGTTGACATCTAAAATAATTATTTAGAAATCGACACATTCTAAGCCTGCAAATGCTGGTGAAGAGCAGGTATTGATAGGCAGTGCATTATGCACCAAGGATGTCTATCCGCTGCTAAAGTTCTGCTCCGATTGTGCTGTAAAAAGACAGCAGGAGGTAAGAGCTTAAGAAAGAGGAGTAAAAGAGAGATCATTCTCATGAACTAAGCCCTAAGGATTGATGCTGTGCTTCAGGTCTCGCCAGTGTTTTAGATGTTTCAGGATGCAATTTATTACAGAATATGATGTACTTAGAATTTTTGTAGTAATCATTTTCCTGATTAACCTAATTTCTAGATAGAGTTTGTATTCATGAACGGCTACAGTACAGATGTGGACATCCAAAGAATGGCATTATTGCTCACAAGCATAGTGCCGTGTGCAGTCGTGACTTGAGGGAAGGAAGTGGGGAGGTCTCCCTCTGAGACCTGAACCTTTTGGTGTGGTTTCAAACACTAGCCAGCACTATCTGAAGACTATTTCACTGCCTTGTCGATGATATAGGAAACAGGTATCTGATTGCAAACTGTTTTCAGAGTACCTTTAAAGCCTGGGAACAAAGGGTGGGGGAATGATTTTCCTTGTAGACTTGAAAGTCTTTACCCTCCTTGTCACATGTTTCTTTCTTCCAGACCAAAAGTACCGAGTTCAACACCACCATCTTTTGTAACAATCGGGTGAGTAGAGAGGTCAGTGCTGCTGGCTTTCTCCAGGGAGGCGCTAGGCATTTTGGAGAGGGAGTAGCCTGCGGTGTGCAGAACCCCGGGAGGTGCCTAGGCTACCGGACAACGCCGGAGGGGATAGGGGACAACTGGGCTGCCAGCGCGGGGCTGCGCCTAGTAGGGAGAGGAAGTCTCTATCCGGAGGAAACGCAAATCGGGAACTGGGACCAGGAAATCTTGTCAGGGGCACCACCTACTGGGGTCCCAGCCTTCGCGCATGGGCGCAGGCTTTTGGCCTCCTCGGCAGCCTGGAGACTTGGGCGGAGCGAGCGTGGGTGACTGTCCTTTCGCAACAAGCGCCCTCCGCCACCCTCGCCACGCCCCTGCTCCCCAGCGGTTGGTTCTTTCTTGCTCTTCTCAATAGTGACCTCCACGCTCTTACTCTTGTTTGTGGTGTTCTCCGCTCCTCCCCAACCTTCCTCCCCTCCCCTTTCACTCAGTTCTCACCAACGCGCTCTCTCTCTCTCTTTTTCTTTCTGGTGTTTTCGCCCTTTCTCTTAAACTTTGCCGCCGGTGAGCAGTCACACTGCCTTACTGAAATCCAGCGCCTAACCTTCAATCCCACCCCCGGCTGCGCGCCGCTCGCCAAGGAACTGTTCGTCTTGAGAACTAACGCTACCCTCGCTCTCTGGTGCCCAGGCTATTCGGAAACTCAGGTAAGCCCAAAGCCTCAGACGCTCGCTTTGTACCTTGGGGATAACCTTGAATTAAACTGGGGCTTTGGTGCAGAAGTCTTTCTCCGAATTTTATCTGGGCTTTATCTTTTCAAGAGCAAAGGAGCCGGGTAAAAGCAGTAGGATGTCAGTTAGTCCCACGTTGATACCTGGACTCAAACGCATCTATTTCTAGAGTTCTGATTCCGTTTTGGCTGAATTACGGTCCTAAACCTTAGGGCAATGTTTCAAGGCATGATGAGTGAGCCTCCTATATCAGGATGTTTGATTGCTGGAGCATAGGGATATGGCTGTTAAAAATGCCAGTTCTCAGGGACTCAACCCATACCTTCAACATCAAAATCTCAGGTTATGGGGCTCCTTAAGAGATTCTTGTCCAGTCCAAAGTTTGAGCAACACCACTTGTTCTTATCAGTTAATTATTGTGAGCTTCTTTGTTAAAATGTTGCGTTATACATAAAATCTCTATCCTACGTTTACTTAATTGCTTGTATGGGTGCTATTGCTGTCTCTTTACATATTTTTACAGATGTAGTTATCTGCATTTGAATGCATGTGTAGCATTAAATATAGAGATAGTGTAGTGGAAAGCTAGGCGTGGGAACTCTGGAGACAGCCTGCCTGACTTTGAATCCTTGCAGGTAACTTCTGTGAAGACTTGGATCTTAGCCTCTGTTTTCTGTAGCTTCATGGGTAAAGTAAATGTCATATCAGTCTTATACAGGTTGTTTATGAGGATTAAATTAGTCAATACATGTAAATGCAGTTGGAACAGTGCCTGGCACATAATAGGCACTCAATAAATATTTATTTCAGTCAGCAAGTAAAGTAGAGAATTTATCTTCAAGATGACAAGTTTAAGAAAGAGAGAGACAAGTGCAGATACGTATGATTGCTCCTTATTAACCTAGTGGACTTTATCCATCTGCAATCTGAATAGACGGACAAGACTGTCACTTTTTAGAGGTTGAGGATTGAAGTCATAGGGCTGCTCTGGACTGAGCTTGAATTAGAAACTCAATATCAGACAGCCATATGAGAAACCTGTTTGGCTCCATGCCTTCTTATGAAGGAGACCCTGGCAAATCTACAGATTGCTACAATAAAATTTGTTCAAATAAGTGCACAAACAAAAGGCTACGTCAAGTTCTTGGACAGCATGTGAGAAAGGGAGAGTTTAGAGAAGTTTACTTCAGTCACCTCCCAAGCCCAAATGGGGAGTCTAAGACTAATAATATTTATGACTTTGCATATTTTAAACTGTAAGATTTGTGCTTAGTAACGTCTTGACTTTATTAATCTGCATACCATGTGTCTAGGAGCCCCAGTGTACTACTCAAAGGTAATTCAGATAAAGACATACACCGGAATCCTCTTTAAAATAAGCCCTCAGAGGTCTGCGGCACATCTAGATGGTGGGGCAGGGGAGGAGGCAGGATGGGGAAGAGGAGCATGCATGTTGGGTCCAAAAACTAGACTATGTTTACTGAATTATGTCTATAAGGAGGTATAAGGTAGCTCTTGCCCATGAGGAACTTGTGATCTTGTCAGGGAGATCTTGAAATCAGCAATTTATTCATTTACTTAATCATCCAACAAATATTCAGTGTTTCCTATGATTAAGACACTGTTCTCAGTGCTATGGGGAATACCTGTGATGCAATATTAAGAAAAGCATGTGAGAGCCAAGTTAAATGACACACCCTCTTAAGCACTAGAAGGGTTTCCAAAAGCAAGTTGTGAGCTATTAACAGAGGATTTTTGTAGGAGGTGGTGCTTGATCTTGAAGCAAGAGTAGGTGAATGGAAAAACAGGAAGGCATTCCCCTGGAGAAGGCACATACTAGCACATGCAAGCAGGTGCTTTGGAAACACATTGAAAGGTGGATTTGCATGGAGAAGGCAACATAACCTGCACACCACAGTTACTAAAGATAGTGAAAAGTAATTTTGACTATTGATTCTCATATTCTACAGATAAATGCTACTCAGGCAATGAAGAAGAGGAAAAAAAGAAAAGTCACAACCAATAAGTGTCTGGAACAAGTCTCACAATTACCAGGATTGTGGCGTCGCTTCATTCGAACTTTAAGGAAATGACAGTAAACCATCTTTATTATGGTCATGTTTCACAGCACCAAAATAAATCATCTTTATTAAGTAGATGAAACATTAACTGTGACAAAGAAGACCACAAATAGTTATCTTTTAATTACAGAAGAGTTTCTTAACTTATTTTTGTAAGTTTTTATTGTTTAATGTAAGTTTATAATGCAGGGGAAGTACTACTCCTCAAATATTGAGGGAAGCTTCCACAACATTGATGACTGGCTTCGTGGCAGAAATTCGCAGCTGTAATTGTATCAGCATTACTCAAGAGGAAAATCCAAAAGTGTATTAGAGCTTCATTCCTTGAAAAATGAAAAATATTTAACTCGACGATAGCACCTAAATTTATGTTTAAAAGGCAGACATTCTTTCTACATGTAATGACACTAATTGTGTTAAACTAAAAATTTACAAGAGAAGAAAGTAAATGCACATGGGGTTTCACAAATAGTTGTAAATATAACGAAGTAATTTAAAATAATTTTCAAGCAAAATACTGTGAAAGTATTCTAAGCCAAGTTTTAAATATTATCTAGCAGACAAGAGTGGTATATGCAAGTAGATCCTGAGAAGTATTTTTGTTACAAACTGTATATATATATATATATATATGTGTGTGTGTGTGTGTGTGTGTGTGTATATATATACACACACATTATATATAAATTTATATATATGTATTATAAAATGTAATTTATTTTGTGAACACTTTTGAAAATGTACATGTTTCTTTGTAATTGACACTATATATTTCTTAATAAAATAATTCTCAAATTCGTTTCTTATGAATCATCTTTCAAATCTAGTTCGTAGACAATTTACACACATACTTTTCTAAGGGACATTATCTTTCTTGAAATTTTTACCTCCACTCATCCTTGGAGCCCATTGACTCCTCCCCTTTATACCTGTTGGTTCTGCTTATGGGAAAGAATATTTGGAGATAGGCAGCTCAGGATGCATTGCAGTCATCCTTTTCTTAAATTTTGTCACTTGACTTTTTTCTCTCTCTCTCCTCTTGAAACTTCCTCACACCTGGAAGAAACAAAGTAGGCAAAAGTGAACAGGGGATATTAAATCTATTCTTGAATTTCTGCAGCAAGCTAGAACCATAGGCACCCTCTCACTCACCTTCCACCCAGAATCCTCCAAACACCAATAGGAAGGGTGACCCTGGACCATAGAACCTAGGCCAAAATAGAGCACATGGGGATGCACTGATTTTTCCTAGGAGTAGACATGCTCTTCTAATCACTCCCCTGAGGGTTAGTTGGGGCTAAACCATGACGGAATAGGGAAAGTTCAATGTCCTTAAATCCATCTTACCTGCCAACAGGTAAGAGGAAACTTACATTATATGTCCAGTAAGCATTTAAAGAGTACTTACTGTGGAACAAGACTTCAGCCAAGCACTGGGGATAGAAAAGTAAGACTCAGCCTTTGTCCGGGGAAGCTCAGGGTGTGGCTGAATAGGCAGTTTCTTTCGTCTTGAGGAAAATTGGGACATGCCTGCTTTCCAAAAATCTTCCTCTGAGGACCTAATCCAAGTCCTTAAATGCCATTATAAGATAAATTCCTTTAAGTCTATTAACTCCATTTTAGTAAGGATTCACTGACTAGATTTTACTGAACTGTGAAAAGAAATACACTCACAATTTTTCACAAAGTTTTGGGCCCAATTCCCCTAAAAGAATTGAGGATTAGGGAGAAAGGAGATAGCAGTTAAGTGCAGTTTCTTTGAATTTTCTGCTTTATCTTAAATATGTTGTGTAATTTATATATTTTATTTTTCTATGTATTCCATAGTTGTCCTAATATAAAATTAATCATTTAAATTACACTGTCAAAAGGATGCATCATATTAATTTAGTAAGAACTTTCCAAATGTTGCAACAATGTGGATCATACATCTCTGGTTTTTCAAATGTATTGAGGCTTTCTTGGTGGACTAGTATATGGCCAGTTATGTCAATGTCTCATGGTCAAAAAAAAAAAAAGTTGCAAATTGTGATTTAACCATATAAAGTTGGATATATACCTATTCAGACTACACTGTTAGTCATGCTATTTATATTACCTATATTCTCACTTTTGTATCCTTCATTCAGAGGCTAAGAAAGCTGTATGAAAGTCTACTGCTGTTGTAATTCTTCACTTCTTTGTATCCATAAAGTTTTGATTTTCTGTTGCTGATACTATTTTTATCCAATGCCTAAAAAATCACTGAAACCATTTATTGATAATTGTACCCTTACCATTACATTTCCACATTTTATTTGCCAAGTAATTTGTGCCCTCTGTTACACTCTTTCTAGGTCTCTTTGTTTTTGATATTTCTTATACATCAAGTGTCATTTTAGTGTGTGGAAGTGGGGAGAAAGAGGTTTGTAGGAGAGGGGGTGGGTGAATTCCAAATTGAGGCATGTTTACTTTTAGTGCTGTTGCTGCATTTTTTTCTATTTTCTGTTTTCATAGTTCTACACTATTTGTATAATTTCACCTAAAAATAGGTCTTTGTATTTATTCCTTTTAACCATTTCTTATTATTTTTGTCCTATCCCTTCAGCATATTGATATCTGGAGAATTTGAATCTTGGTTCTATTATTATATAACTCTCCCTCATAGGCTTTCTATTGCTTAATTCAGTTTTTGAAAAAGTGTTGACCAAGACAGTACTAAGCCCTCCTTACCTTCAAAGGAGGCAACTCTATGGGCTGGTAAATTTATTTGTCCATGTTCTTTATTTAAAAAAAAAAAGTTCCCTTAACTCTTAAGAATCAAATATCAATTTTTTCATTCTGTCCATATCAGAAAGTGAGGGGAAATTTATCAAATGCTTTTCTGAAGTCAAAACATACTAAGCCCATATCAAACCCACAGATCAAATAAATTTATCCAAAAATGGGACTTTTACAATATTTCAATTATATTCCTTTTTAAATCTTACAAGCCAACTTTCTGAGAATTATACCAAACAATAACACTAAACTGATCTGAGATTTTTTTTAGTATTCCCTCCTTTTTATTATTCAAAAGTACTAAGTTTTCTCAAATACTTTTGTTTTAACTGTAGCTTTGAGAATATCTGTTGGCTTTCGTCTGGCATTGCACTTTATAAATACACCTATATTTTTTTGATACCCAGTATTTACAGGTTACCATATAATATAGTTTCACTGATGATTATCATGCAAAAGTTATTTATGTCTAAACACAAAGGATAATAGCTCATATACAAGGTTAACTGCAAATTGAATTTTTTGAGTCTCAGGTTCTACATTTCTAAAATAAGGATGATGCTTCCTATATTATTGTGTTATTACTATTATTAAAGTACACAATAAATATAAAGTCCTTGGCAAATGGTAAGGAAAATTCTTTAAATGTAGTTATTTGAATGCCTGTTTGTAACTATTATAAAGATTAGGAATAAAGGCTGTTACAGAGCCTGTCAAATACCTTCATTTTTAGTTTTCTGACTAGGACTGCTTTGTGACAATAGAAAGAAGGTTGAAAAGTTTAGGCACACAGTTATTGACAGACTGTCAATTTTGAACTCTACCAAGATAGTGGAGTTTATAGGACAGAGTACCTCAGGTGAGAGGTGCACAGAGAAAGAAGCTCAGAGACCTGTAGGCATATCTCTTGAATATTTAGCTGGGTACTTTTCAGCATATGGCTGTCAGAAAACTACTCAATACTGGGGAAAGAGTCATTTGAACGATTAGAGGGAATAGTGCCCATTACTTACTCAAAGCCAGAAACGTTAACTATTTTCACCAACTAGACTGGAGTATCTCACAAATCATTAGGCATTGGATAGGGCACTCAGGAGAGTCTTATTTTAATAATAAAGAATAATTAGCCCTTGAAAGAATCAAACTGTTTCCAAGTAACTTAGCTACATCCTACAATAAATTTCAAGAATATCTGTCGAAATTAAAAACTACCATGCCGGGCGCGGTGGCTCAAGCCTGTAATCCCAGCACTTTGGGAGGCCGAGGCGGGTGGATCACGAGGTCAAGAGATCGAGACCATCCTGGTCAACATGGTGAAACCCCGTCTCTACTAAAAATACAAAAAATTAGCTGGGCATGGTAGCGCGTGCCTGTAATTTCAGCTACTAAGGAGGCTAAGGCAGGAGAATTGCCTGAACCCAGGAGGTGGAGGTTGCGGTGAGCCGAGATCGCGCCATTGCACTCCA